CTTGGATGTACAGATAAATATAATGAATAATGGCTTGGAATTGTTAATGGGAGACAGTTCCAATTCCGGTTGGGTTCGTTATATTTACTTACATGCAAATACTCTTGAGTAAGGTATGAATCCAATTCTTCTTCCCAGCTATGGGTTAATTAGTAAGACTTGTATCAATAAATTATTATATCCCACCATCACCACCACCAGAAATTCTTAAAATCTAAAAATATTTTCTGGTTTTGGATGGCCTGCTGGGAGTTAATGGATTGTTAAAAAAAAAAAAAAAAAATGAATCAATCAGCTGTATAATAAAATGAATAAGAAACCATCTTTCATTGATACAGTTTATGATGTGGAGTTGCAGTCTTGAAGGGCTGAAACCAGTAACAACACAAAATGCAACACTTTTGTTTTTCTTTTAAAATTGAAATATTCTTTGCTTTGCCTTTCTTTGTTTTTAGAGTCTCCTTTGACAATGTGTTTCTTTTATTTCCATAGAAAAGTTATTCCCAGCAGATGTTAGCGTTTGTTTCTTCATTCAATCTTAGAAATTCTTGTATATGTGAATGAAGAAATTTTTGGAATTGGATCAATATTTGCAAACAGCAGGATTGGCAAGAAAATCATAGAAAATATTTCTCAAAGTTGCGATATACATTTCTTCCTTTTTGTTATATCAAATCGGTGATTTTTCTATAACCAATTCATTTGTTTGAAAGCTTTTAAAGCTTTATCATCTGGATTTATTAAGAACTAAGTATACAAAATGAAAAAACAGTCCAGTACGTTTTTATAAGATCTGCTAATAACTATAATTCCATTTTCTATACAAAACAACAAATTTCAACAGCTTGTATTGATCAATTTTAAGAAATATATATGAAAAGGTGACAAAATTGTTGATGTGTTGTTCTTTAGTTGTCATTAGTAAAGGAAGTGATTAAGCGTCAGGGTGTCTGTCATTAAGACTGGAAGTTGGCATATATAGGAAAAACACCAAAGCCGTCATTGACTGGTTTGCAGGAATACAGAACAAAAACAAAGCTGACTTCATCCAATTTGATTATAATAAACTTCTACCCCTCCACCACAAAAAAACATACTAAATGAAACAATAAAACTAGTACGACAGCATGTACAAATCACAGATGATGATGACAATAATCAAACACTGCTGGAAATCTCTGCTATTCCACGACAACAACCTGTTTGATGTAACTATGGTAAGTTTTGACAGAGCTTAAATCTGCAAACTGGTTGGTATTCTTATTCTTTCATACGTACAGAAACGATGGCCTAATCCTAATAAGAGAATCCAATGGCCCTAAAATAGACAGCTGCAGAAAAAAGATTATAAACGTCCTAAAAATGATTGGATTTAAATTAAAAAATAAAAACAAACTCAATAAAAATAAACTTCCTAGAGATCACTCTCAACTTATGAACCATACAAAAAGGATAATGACACTCCCAAATACATACACACTGTAGGTCAGCGGCCTGCTATCTTTGGTTAGGATTGATTCTGGTATCAGAGAACAAGCTGTCAGACCACACTCGTTGGTTGTTGGTGGCATTTGACACTGTAGCTGGTCTCTCAGAGTTGACTTCTTCAACTATGACCTCTCTTACCCACGTTGTGATTTTTGATCTTAATAGAGTTGAGTTGAATTATCACTGGGGTATCTCAACCAAGGAGTTGAATATGCACACAAAATTGAAAATAAAATAAATGATGCTTGAATAAGTCACTAGATGATATTTATATCAAAATAAAAAAAAAAAATTATTTACAGTTCTTTTTTTTTCTTTTTCCAACAAGTTTCTAATATTTGGTGATGGAACGAAAATTTCAGCTAACTCCTCTAAGGATGGCCATACTTGACAACTGGATTTAACTTCAAGTACTGTTGATTGTACTTTCAAGGATGGCACAAGGATATCGTCAGTCTTTCTTCTTCAGCAGATAATTATTATTATCATTAACTTGGCAAAACAGTGTAATGGCAAAAAATTTCTTAACTCTCTGTCTCCAACTACTGCAACTCACTGCAACTCCGAACTGCAACTCTCTTAGCCCCTGTGGGCACTTGTATTTATGGGTGTCCATTCTGAACTGGTATGGGGAAAGGCACATAAGGGGATTTTAGGAAACTATTCAACCAATATCCTTCCTTCGTTCTCTGTTTCACACTTCCAAATTGGAAGGTCCCCTCTCCTTCAGGAAGAGTCATTATATGACGTCAGTTTTCCTGATGCCTCCCCCTGCCTTCACAATTGCTCATTCTGTCTTCACAATTATAATTTTTTCTCAGGGAAATTTTGGTTGATAATCTTCTCAGCACATAAACATTGACATCTTTCAACGGTCGACTTTGGCCCCTGAACCTGCTAGCTGTGTCTCACCAGACAGCAACAATTGTATTTTGTATTTTTTTTCAACAGAATTCATGCATCTTTTCTCAATGTCCTGGGAAAATGACTCTTTTTGACAAAAAATAAAATGTTTTTTTTTTTTTTTTTAACACTTTTCATCCATACGACATATCAAATATTGTTACGCGCCCAACATCTAACCACTCTAACTAATTATCAAGTACATACCTAAATCCATCAGCAGCAGGTTATTAGACAACTTATCCAACACAGACATTTTTAATGACAAAATACACCATATAACAATGCACTAAGAAAATTGGATACATGCAACAGCTCAAATGTACACTACAACCAAAATGGAAAAAACAGAAAAAGAAATATAATTTTGTTTAACCCACCATACAACAAAATAGGCAGAACATACCTAAATCTAATAGAAAAAAAGCACTTCCTTGTAACAAGCTCCTTGGCAAAAATATTTAACAAAAACAACATAAAAGTTAGCTACAGTTGCACTAAGAACATAACTGAAAATAATAAAAAAACACAACAAAAAAGCAATAACCTGCAATAGTGCAAAGTCCCCCAATGTAACTACAGAAACAAATTCACATGTCCACTACAAGGAAACTGTCTACAAACATAGTATGCAAAGCTAAAGTCAACACAAACAACACTACAATGCACTACATTGGTGCCATAGAAGAAACATTCAAACAAAGGAAATACACACATGACCTCTCATTCTCCAACAGCCCCATACTATCCACATACATAAGGCATCTAAAAGACAAATACATCACACCAAAAATAACATCGGAAATTATGAAAACCCACATCTGCCTACAATAACATATCAAGGAAATGTCTACTTTGCCTGCAAGAAAAAGTGGTGATAAACACCCACATGCAAACCAAAAAATGGAAATAATCTCAAAATGCAGACATGAAAACAAATATCTCAAACCAAACAGATAAGACCAGCAACAAAAACTGGACACAAACGAGAACAAACCTACCAAGAAATTGTTGAGCACTAAAACACCGAAACATAACCACCACCAGCAATCGATAGCATTAACAACACTACCACTAACCCCACATACACAATCACTGCCATAAAGAAAGATATAACCACTAATACTCCAAAATTATTATTTTGTGACTACTACTATTACTTTTGCTATTAATATTGTTGTTACCACTTAAAGAACAATACTTCATAACCACCACTACCACCGTTAATACTGCTTTTTATCATTAATCTTATCATCGTCATTATTACTATTATTATTATTATAAGCATTATTATCATCATTATTATGATTACCACAGCTATTATCATCATTACCATTGTCATTATTATTTTTTCTTTTATTTATTATTTTCATTAATTCATTATCTCTTTATTGTTTATTTTATTTTTTTAATGTTGCTATCATTGTTATTATCTTGGTTATTATTGTTTCCATCATTATTAAGAATAACTTTACTGTTCATCATAACCTATAACACATTAATTATTATCAATATATCAATAATAATATCACAGTTATTATTACCATTACCATAATCACAATCATTAATAAAACAGCAGTCGTTATCATTGTTAAAAAATACAAAGATCATCATCATATCTACAGACAGAATCCAGCTTAACGCACGTGGTTGAAGTAGACCCAGATCAGTGAGTCTACATATGTGTGAGTACATGTGAGCATGTCTGCTGGCACAAACAGCCAACCTGAAAAATGTCAAAGCCTTCCCCACCTGCCCCCCCTACGAGGAGAACATTACTACATATGAATGCAATTTTGAGACTGAAATAGACTGAATGAAAGTTGCATAAATACTTGTGCTCATATGTATGAATGTATAACTGAGCCTAACCTAAGATTATGGGTGTGTATGTATGAACTAACAAGCATATGCCTGTATACATGTGTGTCTATGTATATGTGAGTGTCCTCCCTAACAAACACAGAAGAAAAAATTTTTCCCCTCCACCACATACAAATAATCAAACACGAATAAAGCAGAAATAGATCCACTTTTGAAAAATTAAACCAGTTCGTCTGAAGATCGCAAAAGCGTGAGACCCAGGGTTACAAATCATGATCTGTGCAGCTGCATACATATATATATATATATATATATATATATATAAATAAAATCCTCTTTTACTGTTATGTTAGTAGTGGGAGGCATTGTAGCATATAAAATCACAAATTCTTTTACTATTGGTCCTTTTCTGATTGATCAAACATGGCCAAGGTAAATGGAATCAATAAACAGATAAACACGGTAGGTGACAAACAACAGAAGGCAAAAATATAGGGATAAGAAATAACCATTTTATTTCTGAAATATACAAATGGAGATTAAATATGTTAGGGTATATTAAAAGATGAAAAATGGGGGCAAAACAAAACAATTACAGGGACAAAAAATGGGCAGAACTTATCTTTTCAGAAAGGTAAATGTTATATTGACAAACGACCTTGTGCCAAACCTGCATGAAATTACAAATGACAAAGATAAAAAGGCATTATTTATATTATTCAGACTATTGTCCTCATCTTTGTCACCATATTTATTACAATGTTTCAGCCATTGAACAACCTGGC